TGCAGAAAGGCAGCTGCCGGGCCTGCGCCGTCACCCGTGCCGCAAACAGGTGAAAGCGGAACTTACCCACCAGGTCACTGACCAAGGTGGTCCCAGTGGGGACATGGAAGGCAATGTGGGACAGCCGGCTCAGAGAGGCAGCCATGGCGTGGCAGGGTCAGACCAGGTGAGCTCTGCAAAAGGGAGAGAAACTAAAGCATACATCCCCGCAGCCAGGAAGGAGAGAAGGGGCCCCGGGCTCTCTATCACCCCCTGCTGGGAACAGAATCAGTCTGCATTGCACTGTATGGCCCCGGGCTCTCTGCCGCCCCCTGCTGGGAACAGAATCAGTCTGCATTGCGCTGTATGGCCCAGTGCTCTCTACCGCCCCCTGCTGGGACAGAATCAGTCTGCATTGCACTGTATGGCCCCGGGCTCTCTGCCGCCCCCTGCTGGGAACAGAATCACCCCTCAATGCTTTTCAGGCCACCTGCAACACCAGTCAATGAGGGGAAGCTGATGTCTTGCCTGCTGCACAGAAGCAGCTGGTGTTGAGATCACAGGTAGCCGAGGCCCTCGCCTGCACTACAGCGTTGGTGAGGAGAAGGCTGCCCTCAGTGTAAGTCGCTCACTACACCAACCTACTAGCGCCACCGCCACGCAGGCGCAGCGCTGAGGTCGATGTTGTTAGGGGGATGCAGCGCCGGGTAGACGCTGTCATGAACGTCGCCTGTCGGCACCACACAGCCTCACAGCTGTGAGCCCTGCTGGTCGGGGCTGTCGGTTCCACCCAGAGTCTCTGCCCCGGCTATCAGTCCCCCCGCCCCACCTCCCATTGCAAGCACTGTTGGTGAAGACGCGCACCACCGGCGGAGGGAGCGCCGTGTGGACGTGGCAAACCCAGTAATTACTGCCGTGGCTGGGCCCAGACATCACACAGGTGGACTCAAGTGTGTGGTGGGGACAAGGCCGAAGTTTGCCGAGCGTGGGGGGCGTCGCACCGCAGGGAAGGGGCTGCCATGTGCTGGCAGGAGTGTTTGGGGGCTTGCAGCTGTTACGGGAATGCACACGGCTCTGTCCTGCACCAACGCGGTGAGAAATCTGTACGGCCCTAGGCAGGGTTCCCTAAGGGGTGCGCCTGCGCGGGCGCGCACCAAGAATTTGAGGCCCACCCACCTCAGAGGAGCCACACAGTGGCTGCACTGCTGCTC